GCCGGGTCCACTCCTCAGCGCTGCGGAAAGCCGGTCCCCGCGGGCACCAGAGGGGCTCCCAGGTGCCGGCCAGCCCGGCCGCTCCTCTCATCCATGCAACTTCAGGCCCCTGCGGGGCAGCGGCGAGGGCCAAGTCCTGCGACCTTGCAGCATAAGCCAGTCAGGCGAGGGCACCCATCTTCATGCAGCTGAGGGACAGGCACGCAGCGAGGGCTCCGGGAAGGAAGCGGCGGCAGCTGTCACAGGGACCCGGCACATGCAACACAAGCACCACAGGACACGGCAGGGGCAGGAGAGACTTTTACTTGTTTTCCCCCAGCAGTCTCGGAACAGGCAAACCATGGCTCCTGCTCTCAGTGCTCAGAGGCTCAAGGCAGCAAGAATCGGGTGGGGGCCGGGCTGGGCCACGGGCTCAGGTACGGCTCTGCTGGGGCAGCAGCATCGCCCCTGCCGAGCTGCGGCCAGGGGGCCGGGCCCATCCACGCTAGACTCGGGGAGCCGGCGAGCAGGGCGCTGCTGGGGCCAGGACTCCGGCTGGAGAGCTGCCTGTCATTGTCCGCCTCACAGTGGCTGCTCCTGGGCTCCTCCGCTCAGGCAGGCAGTCAGCTCTTGGCCAGAGAAGAGAAAGGAAGGGTCCTGGGCCGGGCGCGGCGGCCTCTTTAGTCCATTCACATGCTGTGCCTTCCCTCCGGCCGGCAGTAAAGACACAACTGTCCTCCCAGGCTCTTCGGACCTCCACAGCCTCCTCTGCAGGCGGGCAGGGCGGTCAGGACAGACAGGGGCTGTGGCCGTGCAGGGAGGACAAGTTCAGCCCTCACTGGCAGCCCCTGGATGTTCCGAGCTGGATGCCTAAACCCCCCCATGTACTACTCAGGTCCTCACAGGTAAAATGTAAAAGGAGGAAAAGAGAGGAGGGGAGGAAAAGAAGGGCAGGAAAAGAAAAAGAAGAACCAACTACAGAGACGTCACCTCCAGCGAACTCCCGGCACGGGGAGTCATCCTGTCGCCCAGGCAATGTCTGCCCTTCAGCGCAGGACAATGGCAACTTGCTTGTTATGAGGACCCGGCGACCAACTGTGGCAGCCTCCGCCCTGCCCTCGGCCTCCGCAGACAGAACCGGTGGCGGTCGGACCGGCGGCTCCAGCAGCAGCACTCGGAGGCGAGACAGAGACACTCCCGAGCCCCCACCCTGGCGCTAAGCAGCGGGCTCTCCACTGCCTCTGAGGTCCGGCGGCCGGGGCTGCTGATTCATTCCTGCTTGTGATCCCTGGCTGGGTGCTGTGGTCCTGCGCTGCCGCCGCCAAATGCTTTGTCTGAGGCTCCAGGCTCCACGCTGCCTGCTGCCGGCTCCACAGTTCTTGCTCACTCCCCCGATGTCTGGCCCTCCCCTTCCCCCACACCCCCCCACGCTCAAGAAAATACATCAGGGATAGGACACCACAGCCACCCAGAGCCACCCAGAGCGCTGCTGCCCCTGCTGAGGGAGAAGGAGACAGCAGCGGCAGCCTGGGGCAAGACAACAGATTTCCCAGTGTCTGATGCTGGCAACTGGACAGAACACCTCACCCCAGGCTCAAGGGGCTGGAACAGCACAGGGGCCCCCTTCCTATAGCTTTGGCCTACAGTTTCCTGTACAGGCAGGGGAGGGGACAGAGGAAGGACATTGCCCTGAGGACACAGTCCACAGGTAAGTCCCCCGGTGTGCCACTTCTGGGAGGACCATGCTTATCACAAGACCAGGCAAAGCCATAAAACCGCTGCACCTGCTGCTCCCCAGGTGGGCCTGCTCCCAGTCCAGAGGAGGCACCAGGAAGACCAGGGCCAGCACCCAGTGTCACAGCAAGGTCACACGAGTCAGGAGCACACAGTCCCTCAACACCAGGAGGCGCTACACGCACTGCTAAGGCAAGGGCTCTGCGCCTGAGAGGCCAGGCCCCCGCAGACCTGCACTTGGATGCCACTGACAGAGCAGCCTTTGTTGGACAGAAGCCAGGGCACACCCCCCACCCCGGGCTCAGTAGTAGCACAGATGCGCTGGCTGTCAATTGCCTGGATTTCAGATACCCTGCTCCAGTGCTGGGGTCCCAGGGGCCTCAACACAGGACCAGGACCGGAACGTGGCGGTCCTGCCCTTTACAGGCAGATTCTCTGCACAGTTGGCCCCACTGAGCAGCACTGCCACCTCCTCTCCACGGCCAGGATCCCGGCCTCGCCTCCTCTATCCCGAGACCAAGGACAGCTGAACCTGGACAGTGACCACTCAACAGATCCCGGGCCCGTCTCTCCACGTCTCTTGGCCTGGCAGCTGTGCCAACCCCAGAGGTCAAGCTCTGCCCTGTGCCGGAAGCCCTCCGTTAGGTGGCCGTCTGCACGGACCCAGTGGGGACTGCTCAGCAAAACGAGCTCACGCATGAGACCGGTGTGGGGTCCAGACACCCACGCAGAAGCCCTCTGGCCCCTCCTATGGGTTCATGAGGACAAGGACAGGCGCGAGGCCCAGACAACACAACAGCTCAGCGACAACTCCCTCCGAGCCGCTCTTTCCCGGAGCTCACCTCTGGACGGCCCATGTCCAGGCAGTGGTCCCCGGGTTCCAAGCTCCCTGGACATCGAGGGGACAGCAAGGCAGAAGGGGGCCCGCTGGACTGACGACCCCAGCGCACAGCTCTGGATGTGGCACACTCAGTCCTGAACACCTTCTGACACCGAAGCATGCGTGATCACTCCCCAGGGGAACGGCCCCAAGCTCTGAGCCAGAGCAGCCAGCTCTGTGGACGGCAGCTGCGTCCCACACTGACAGAGACAGATAAACCCAGCCTGGGCCCTTCTGCTGGACCCCAGAGAAACATGGCGCTGCAGGGGCCAAGAGAGACGCGGGGGATGGGGACGGGCAGGGGAGCAGGGTCGTTTCTCTAGGTTTCTTGACGTGAGCAGGTGACGGCCTATGGACAGACAGGGACATGGCTGCTACCTACAGAGCGCCTCCTCTTACAGCACCCACAGGCTCGGAACATCAAGTGCTACAGACGAGGGGCTGGGGCTCACCGAGATGAGGCCACCCCCCCAGACTTGGGACTTCCTTTCTCCCAGATGTGAGCACCACACCCCACCTATCAGAAGCCCATGAAGACCGGAGGCACCGCGCGAGGCTGCCAGGTGAGTCCTGATGACCGATGACGCACGCTCAGGGGTGGGGATGGACGGCCTTCCTGGGTAGGTTCTGTGGGCAGCTGCGCCAGCGGGCGAAGGCCGTGCTGAGAGGCGCTCTGCGAACATCCCCTCCCCGGAGAAAGACAGGACAGTCACAGCCCTGTCCCAAGGCAGCGCAGGGGAATGGGCGGAGGCCATTGGCCCACCGACTCTGCCACTCCAGGAGCTGGGGAGACCCTGGTTTGCGCCAACAGGACAAAGCCCACGTTTGTACAAGTGATGAGCAGGTGAGGGCTGCTCACTGAGATCTTTCCTCGTAGGCAGCCCCTGGTTTAATCTGCGTCCCTCCCCTAGTGTGCGGAGGGTGCCGGGGCGGACTACGGCAGTGGCAGAGGCTCACACCTGGCGGTGCCGCCGCACACCCGATCTCGTCCGGAACCCCTGTGCGCAGGAGGCCGCGGGTACCGTACCTGAGATCCTCTGCTGTTCCTGAGAAAAGTCGATCCCTTCTCCAATTGAACTCATGATCTTCTCAATCTGAAACAGAGGAGGAGAGGCGTCAGGTGTGGGGCGGCGTCGCCAGCTCACCACTCACCATCAGGACCATCGGGGCTGCCCTGCAGGTCTCAGACACTCCAGGCCCAGCTGCACCCCGTGAGGGGCCCCGACTCTCCGCAGCTCAGTGCCAGCTCTGAAGGGAGTGTGGCGGTGACAGTCGGCCCAGGGCCTGCAAGTGCCGGGAGAGCCTTCTGTTCCGGCAGAGGAGCGCAGGGTGTGGGCGGGCCAGGCCCAGCGTGTTCCACTGCCCGTGTGGGAGTGGACGCGCCCAGGTGTAGAGGCTGCTCTGTTCCATGCCACACCCCAAGAGCCTAGCACTGTGCAGGGCAAACAGTGACAGAAAAATGACACCGCGGCCACCACCTCTGACATGCAGACCAGCAGAGCAGTGCACACGGGTACCCTCGGCGGCCACACAGCCCCGAATGGACGCCCTCTGCTGCCTGCAGGCCGCTCGGAGTCCTGCTTGGAGCTCTGTGCCACGGGGAGAAGAGACGCAGAAGCAGCCAAACGTCCCCAGCACTGTCGCCCGTGTGGACCACCTGGCCCCGCCATCTGGCTTTGGTTGGCCAGGGCTGAGGACCCACCTTCTCCCCTCCAGCTTGGCCACAGCGATAATGAGCTCACTCACTGCTTCTTGAGAAGAGGACCTTTTGTTCCAGGGCTCAGATGCTTCCTCCTCAGGGCAAGTGAGGAGCCTGAGTTTGACCACCAGAGAAACAACACTCCAGCCGGCCTCAGCCAGCGCAGGAGCTTGGAGGTATTTTCCTCCAGCCACAGAAGTGACCGCTGGCTCAGCGTCCTCTGAACAGCTGTCAACAGACTGCGAACTCCATCCCCGAGCTCAGCAGAAGCCTGGCAGACACAGGGCCCTGGCCCTGGAGCAAACTAGGGTGTCTGCACTTCCTGGTGCCAGGGCCCAGACGGGTGGCAACAGCACGGGCACCCAGAGCAGGTGGTGCTGCCCACGTTGCCCCCTTTAGCATCGCCGTTTCAGGTGCTGCAGAACAACCTGACAGACAGGCCGTACCTCAGCCTCCCCAAGCCTGGCGTAAAGATGGGAACAGACATGGCTGCCACCGCCAGAGCAGCCGGCCAGAGACCCCGCACACCGAGATGCTCAGCGGAAGTCAGGCCGCCACGGTCCCGCTGTCCTCAGTGCTCCACCTGGTAACAGCTAAAATGTTTTGCAGTGCTGGGGATCAAAGCCAGGGCCTCCTGAACCCCAGGCAAGGGCTGTAACACAGAGCTGTGTCCCCAGCTGAAGATTACTTTGAAAAATATTTTTAGTTATTATTCAAAATGCAAAAGGTATAAAAGGTTGTTCAGACAAGTGTCCCTCCTCCCTCTGCCTCCTAGTTCTCTCTCAAGGCAGCCAGTGCGGTCCATTTCTCACACATCCTCGGTTCTACCCAAATTTGGGCACAGTAGCAGCGGAGTCTACACAGCCTCATCTGTGCAGACAACCTGTACGTACTGCTCAGCACCTTGATCTTCCCACTTTATAATACAACTTAGGAGTTCTTTCCAAAGTTCAGAAAAAAGTTTAAAACAGATGGGCTACTACACCTGTGTGCAGGTGGAATTCACGTAGTCGGTGCCCCGACAGGTAGGAGGGCATTTTCCAGTCTTTCTTGTCCTCACCATTGCTGTGCTGCCCCTGGTTCTGGAGCCGTCCGTAGGGCGAGCCCCATGCCTTGCTCGAGAGCCCCCAGGCCCAGCACCCGAACAGTCCGCAGCTCTTCTCAACCCACGCCACACTGGATTGGGCCAAAGGCCCTCTGGACCGGATGCTGGCTCCGTGTCCGGTCAGCTCGGCCGCCTGCAGAACATGCCTGCTCACACGCACCTTGTACAAACGCAGGCCTCTGCAGGGACAGCAACAGCGGCGCCCCTTTCCTTGGAGCTCCTCCTCCCCCACTGGGAGCACTCAGGGATGCCTGAGACAGCTCTTTCCGGTGCCAAGCTGCTGCCCCAGCCGCACGGCACACCCTGTACTGCCGCCGTGACACATCTCACAGCTCCCAAAGCCCGGTGTGCAGCCAGATCACAGGGGCCAGGCCCAGGATAAGCATCTGCGGACTTGCCTTCTTTTTCCTTTTCTAAAACAATCGTAGGGGAAAAGTAGGGTGCTCAGGTGAGAGGACTTTTTGCCACATGGGGAGGAGGGCTGGGCCCCTCCTCCAGCTGAAGGGTGTGTGGGGGAAGAGTCGCTACTGCAGGGTCCTGGAGGTCTGCGGCCAAGTGTCCTGGGTCTGCCACGCGGTAATAAGCAACCCACATAATGTACGAACGGACTGAGTGAGTGCCTAGTTTCCAACTGCACAGACCCAGCCCTGGAAAAGCTGTTTTCGCAAGGCTGAGCAGGGCGCCACGATGGACAGAGCCGAACTGGAGGTGGAGGCTGAGACCGTCACGTCACCTACATGATGCAGTTCGTCATCATGTGATGACTTAACCCAGAGCCCAGTCATTTTCCCTGGGATTTTGCCAGAGGTTCTGCTGAAATCAGGGCGTGCATAGGCGAATGCCCTGCTCCCTCCTGTTTGTCCTGTCACCCACATCCCCTCCAAGGGGCCAGCAGAAGCCCAGGTTTCCACGGCCCACCCCTTGGTGGGGATTCAGGGGACTCTAGATTGCAGCCCAGCTGGGAGATGCTAAAAGACACGGCCGCACCTCTGATCCACCTAGGAAGCGTCTGCTCTGTGAAGTGCGGCAGGCTGCCCAAGCCGCGAACCTGCACAGGCAGGTCACAAACAGCGAGCATCGGCACAGCGTACTGGCCGCCCACAGTCCAGGCCCCTTCCCTAGCAGCAGTTGTAAGCTCAGGGTCAAAGGGGTCCTGCGTGGCGGTGGGCGGCCCCTGGGGTGGGGCTCTGTGGGGACACGGGGAGCTCCAGTCTCCCTGCCCCCTCCAACTTTTCATTTCCCAGCGGCTGCAGTCACCGTGCTGATCACTGCCTAGGCAGGAGCTGGCAGCAAACTTGGTCACACTGCTTTCCCTGGGGCGTTCCACCTCCCAGGGGAGAAGGGGGAGTGGTGGAAGGGCACAGCTCACAGCTCTCCTTTTCTGTCATTTGGATGAGTGACATTGTTAGAGAAATGGCCATGCTTTAATAATGCACTTCTCAGGAACCAAGAGAGAAAATGTATTTGTGTTGCTTAAGACAAGGACCTGCAAGTTACTCCCATAATGGACTCTTTTGTTTTGGAGACAGGGTCTTGCCAGGTAGCCCAGGCTGGTTTTGAACTCACAGTAATTCTCCTGCCTCAGCCTCCAAGTGCTGGGACAATAGGTGTGCGCCACTTCACCTTGCCTCAAAAGAAAAAAATATAAAAAGGCTAGGAAATGTAGGTCAGTGTGAAGGCCATCTGTGAAGGGGGGAGGCAAACAGAGGTGAGGTGAAAGGGAGAAAAGAAAAGACAGACAAGAACATAAAGAAAAGCCCGGCAGCCCTCAGCGTGTGCCCTGAGGGACAGAAGCGAGGGCACTCTGGCTTCTCAGGCCCAGTCCTGCCTCTGCACCCCACTTTTATCTTTCCTACCCTCTAGGATGGCTGAGCACCCCGCCCTGCACAGCTGCTGGCTGACCTCTTCCCAATCCGGAAGTTGAGGCTTGAGGTCAAACCCTAATGCACAGGAAGGAAGTACGTGGTTCTAACAAGAACCAAGAACATGACCGCGAGGAAACACATGGAAACACACACTACCACTGACCTCTCAGAAAGCGGAAGGCAACCTTAACTCAGCCCCAAGAAACTGCTAAAAGGAGAGGAGAGTTGGGTGCCCCAGATTCCGATTAACTTTATCACTGCTTGACACGTAACCCTGGGTCATGTGCCAGGTGCTGGCTCTAGGAAGTGGGACGAGACTCAAGAGTAACGAGGCCTGTGCATTTGGGTTCCAGTCCAGCTTACACAATCCACGTTCCACCCTGGAGCGGGCCTGTTTTCCGGCGCTGGACCTCGGAGCCACAGCTGGGGCTGGCGACCTTCCGGTCCTCCTCTGCCACGGCCACCCGACCTCCCTTGGCCTGGCTCTCAGTGTGAATTTCATTCCAGAGCCTCACTCTCCCAGGCTATAGGGATAAGCAGTCCAAAGAGAGCCCGGTAAGATTTCCACGCAGCGCTGTGGCCAGGGAGAGGAGCAAAACCTCAGGGCAATGCGAGCACTGCACAAAAACAAAACTGATGCACTTGATGTAAGTGCACCGACCGTCGGTACCCATCGCTGCCTGGAGAGGTCCTGCAGCTGCTGCTCTAACCAGCTCTACTGTGAAACAGGAAGTCGCTGGGCTTCAGCCTAAACGCAAACATCTTTCAGACGCCTCCGAGAGGAGCACACTGCACTGGCCTGCGTGGGTGGCGTGGGAGAACAGGGACTGGGAGGCACAAGGGACGGGGACTCATCTTCTGCGTCCTGATGGAGACTGGGATCACACACACGTGTTTGCTAAAACTCACGGAAGCTGGGGATGTAGCTCAGTGGCGCTGCACCTTCCTCACAAGCACAAGGTCCAGAGTTTGATCCCTGGTACTGGGGGAAAAAAAAAAAAAAAAAAAAAAAACAACCAAAAAACTCACGGAATGGCAGAGGATTTATGCTTTTGTGCTGTATGAATTTCATCCCTTTTCAGCTCCTTAGAAGCACTGATCTCTAGTTAGTGATACATTCTTCAAAGTCTTTAGGGATGAAATGCATCCACACCTACGACATGCTTTGAAATGTGCCCCAAAATGACACGGATCCCTAAGTGGGCAGCTGGCTGGACGAGGTGAAGACAACAGAGACGGCAGCCAGAATTCAGACCTCTTCGTGGGTGTTCGGGCACTCACTGCTCAAGTTTCCTTACTTCAAAACTCTTCAGGATACTGGAGAAAAACCTGTTTCGGGATCAAGTCTTTTACTAAAGAGTAAATTATAAGATTGACACCGGTTTTAGTCTCAACTATAACAAATTCTGCCAGAGTGCTAATGAG